TGTGTGACTGGTCCTGCCATCCCCTGGTGCACAGTGGGGCTCATGCGGTGTGGTGGCCAGACTCCATTTCCTGGCAGCGCCAGTGGTGGTGGCTCCTGGCTGCTGCTACTGGACCTAGCCCCACTGCCTGGGAACCCCCACCTATCCCCCCCCAAACTCCCTGCTGAGGGCAGGACCTGCGCAGGTGTCTGGGATGGGGCCATGGGCCAGCGGGAGCAAGAGAGATGAGTGGGTGGGACCAGGGAGATCCTAGGATCTTGAAGCGCTGACAGGGGGCTGGGGAGGCAGATCCAGGGAACTACAGCCTCACCTCATTCCCTGGAAAAATCATGGAGCAGGTCCTCAAGGAATCCATTTCTAAGCACGTAGGGAAGAAATTGATCAGGATCAGTCTGCATGGATTCACCAAGGGCAAGTCATTCCTGACCAACATGATTGCCTTCTATGATGAGATAACTGGCTCTGTGGATGTAGCGAAAGCAGTGGATACCTTGACTTCAGCCAGGTTTTTTATATGGTCTTCCACAGCATTCTAGCAAGCAAGCTAAGGAAGTATGGGTTGGTTGAATGGACTGTGAGGTGGATAGAAAGCTGGCTGGATCATCAGGCTCAATAGGTAGTGATCAATGGCTCAGTGTCTAGTTGGCAGCAGGTATCAAGGGGAGAGTGCCCCAGGGGTCAGTCCTGGGGCCAGTTTTGTTCAATATCTTCATTAACAATCTGAAAGATGGGCTGGAGTGCGACCTCATCAAGTTCACGGATGACACCAAGCTGCAGAGGAGTTAGGCTAGGCCTAGTATTCAGTGTGACCTAGACAAATTGAAGTATTGGGCCAAAAGAAATCTCATGAGTTTCAAGAAGGACAAGTGCAAAGTCCTGCACTTAGGATGGAAGACTCCCATGCACTGCTACAGGTTTGGGATCAACTGGCTAAGCAGCAGCTCTGCAGAAAAGACCTAGGGGTTACTGTGGACAGTAAGTTGGATATGCGTCAACAGTGTGCCTTCATTGCCAAGAAGGCTAACAGCATTAGTTAGAAGTGTTGCCAGCAGATTGAGGGAAGTAATTATTTCTCTGTTCTGCACTGGTCATACCTGGAGCACTGTGTCCAGTTTTGGGCCCCCCTCCCAATGCAGAAAGGATGTGGACGAGTTGGAGGGAATCCAGTGGAGAGCATTGATAATGATTAGGGGCTGGGGCAGATGACTTCTGAGGAGAAGCTGGGAGAACTGGGCATAGTCTTCAGAAGAGAAGACTTGAGGGGGGGATTTGATTGCTGCCTTTAACTACCTGTATGGTGGTTCCAAAGAGGATGGAGCTAGACTGTTCTCAGTTGTGGCAGGTGACAGAACAAGGAGCAATAGTCTGAAGTTGCAGCAAGGGAAGTTGGACTTAGTTTTTCCTAATATCCTTCTCACTAGGAAGGTGGTGAAGCACTGGAATGGGTTGCCTGGACAGGTGGTGGAATCTCCATTCTTGGAGGTTTTTAAGGTTCAGCTCAACAGAGCCTTTGGCTGGAATGATGTAGTTGGGGCTGATTCTGCTTTGAGCAGGGGGTTGGACTTGATGGAGCTCCTGAGGTCTCTTCCAGCTGTAATTTGTTTATGATTCTGAGTTTTATCCTTTTACAGTAAGACCAAGTAGAAGGGTGGTACTAGCAGTAGTAGGGTCTGTAGAACTTGGGTTGAGTGCATTTTATTGTACGGAGCAGAATTATGGAGTGCTGATCAAGCCTCCACTGCCTTGTGTTGAGTAGTGGTTGGGGAAAGGCAAAGGGACATTGCCTTGACAGAAATGCGGCTTCACAGAGGCATTAGGCAGTCAGCCACAGTGCTTACCTGTTATTCTCTGGCAGAAGCTACAGCCCTCGAGGCACTGAACCTCTGGACTTGGTCTGGCCTTTGCATTGTCTTAGTGGTCTAAAGGCAGGGGGGTGATGGGGCTTGGGCAGCCTCCAGTCCTCCATGCTTGTGCCTAGGCAAAGGTCTTGGTGTGATTATTGTAGACTCTGTACAAGCAGATTCATTAGGCACTGACTAGACCTCGTAGATGTATATCATGATCCAGAAGACCAACTGAGTTAAGAATTTTATTTTTAATTCTACTGAATCATTTTAGTGAAGGGTGTAAATGAACTACTACTACAGCTGTGGCTTGTAGTAAGTTGATAAAAAAAAAAAATTTTATTTTGTTTTGCTAAAAAAAAAAAATAGTTTAACTTTTCATGACATCTCATTTAGACAGGAATGGTGAGACGTATTACCACTTAAGCTTCATAAACTGCTGAGGTACAAGAGGCAAAAAAAATGCATGCAGGGAGTTAGCATTTATTGTCATCTAGTGTAACCTTATTTTGTTAGCTTTTCTCCCCCCCTGCCCCCCACATTTGTCCTTGCATTTTTATTTGTTTTAATTTTATCAGCTTGTCACAAACCTGTTTATAAAACTTAATTTTTCCAAATTGCTGCCTGTCCAGGAAGAGCTAAAACATGATTTACCAGGTTTAGGGTATTATCAGATTATATAAACAAATGCATAATGTTGCGTGCTGCTTGGTGTTATAGTGTGGTGTGTATCATATTGTGTAATTGGGGGGCTTTATATAGGAGAAATCTAGGCATCTGTTCAATAATGTTTTATTAGCTGAGAGTCTCTAGAAGGCAGTATTTGTGGTGGAGACATTGAGTTAAAGCAACATGGTGGTATCAAAAAAGACATTCTTGCATCATTTCTTGATATCCCCTGGATCCTCTGATATTACTGTAGTCCACAATTTGAGGCTGGGTTAAGTAGTGGAGACCATTTGGAATGCTGCTCTATTATGCTATTTACTTCAGTTATGTGTATGTTTATAATTGTTCCAACCTAGTGATTTGAATTGGAATAACAAAAAAAAAAGAAACAACCCTGCAAGGTGTTTATTCATGAAATATTAAAAACAGAATAGCTTATGTTTTATTAACAACAACATTTTACTTTTCAGGGCACAGGTGCAGCGAGTTTTGATGAATTTGGGAATTCAAAGTATCAGAATCGCAGGACTATGAGCAGCTCTGATAGAGCAATGATGAATGCTTTTAAAGAAATTACTAATATGGCAGACAGGATCAACCTCCCCAGAAATATAGTTGTAAGTTCGTGTCTCCCTCCTTTAAATTGTTCTGGCATTGACTTAGCATAATATAATGAGCACATGAATTTTTGATATTGCTGCTAATTAAATGGCCTAGAGTTAATTAAATTTAGTCTTCTTGCTTTGAAGGATCGAACAAATAATTTATTCAAGCAAGTGTATGAGCAGAAGAGCCTGAAGGGAAGAAGTAATGATGCCATTGCTTCTGCTTGTCTCTACATAGCCTGTAGACAAGAGGGCGTTCCAAGAACATTTAAAGGTAAGTTTGTAGTTGCACAGATTAAATTCTGTTACCAAATAGACTAATATCTTTAGCCCAGTATTAGAACAGAATGTTGGTAGTATCTGGAAAGAGGCTATAATGGAGAAGTGTAGAAAAATGTATCTTAACTTTGGCAATAATCTTCATTTTATTTCATTGTTTTTAACCACTTGTATCAATTAGGATTTCTCTAGAGTTGCTTCAAGTGATGTCTTAGGAGAATGAATGTTTGGGTTACTGTTTTAAATAGTTCTGAATCTTGGTAGAATTTAAAAGATGCTGCCTGACAAAATGAGTCTTAAAAAGATTGTTTGAGTAAATTTGAAGCAAAAAGTTACATGATTGATAAATAGTTGTCCTCCCTGTTCTTAGTGGAATACAACACTAGCTTGTGTATACTTAATCTTACTCTTTGTGAGATTGATTTATATGTAATAGTGACTTGTAGAACATCTTGCATTGCTGAATCTTCAACAGTAACTATTATTCCAGTGTTATGTAATTTATTCTTAGTTTTTTAGTGGGGTGACTTGCTTTTCTGCACAGTGACCTCTTTCATGAAGAAATGGGAAGGAAGCTGAAAAAGTATGGTCTTAAGTCATTAAGAATGTAGCTTGTTTGAAGTAGAAAACACACTAAGCCTACAGCTTACTTCTCATTTTGTTTGTTTAGAAATATGTGCAGTGTCCAGGATTTCAAAGAAAGAAATAGGCCGGTGTTTTAAGCTTATTTTGAAAGCACTTGAAACCAGTGTTGATTTGATCACAACTGGGGATTTCATGTCAAGATTTTGTTCCAATCTGGGTCTTCCCAAGCAAGTACAAATGGCAGCAACACACATTGCACGTAAAGCTGTGGAACTGGATCTGGTTCCTGGGAGGAGTCCCATTTCTGTGGCAGCTGCAGCTATTTATATGGCATCACAAGCCTCAGCAGAGAAAAGGACACAAAAAGGTAAAGTCTTCCTGTGTTTTCCCATATTTCCTGTTGAAAATAGGAAGAACTCTTTAATACAAAAGTCAGTGTGTTGAAATCAGCAGCAGTAAGTTGCCACCTTATGGATGTACAATTTGTGCCCAAAGTAACAGGTATTTTTCTCATGATGATGTGAGTTACCTAATTCTTAGCTATGCTCCCATAAACAAACTTCCTTAAGGCTTAAGTATGTAGACAATGTAATGTTGGTAGTCTGCATTATGGGTTTTAACTTACTACAGGTTCATATTTACACATTTATATTCTATTTTTCTATACAGATTTGTGGTTTTATTGTTAGTGGTTTTATTGTTCTCTTTATAAATCATTATCCAGTCAAGGCTTGGCTTGGAGACCTGTATCATCTTAGCTGTGCCTTGTTTTCCTCACCTCAAGCCTGTGCACATTGGGTTGTGAGGGCAGATGGTGCCATGTGGACCCCAGACTGTCCCAAAATACTCAGACATGGAGAAGACGGCTTTAAAGGTGGTGCAGCCCAAGCCACCGCTTGTGGGAGCCAGGAGAATCTGGCCTCCTGTAATCACTTTTCCTGTCTCTGAATGGAACATGGTACCTAGGGAAGGGAGAAGAGCTTAGATTGTGAAATATTTTTGCTTTATAAATACTACTGCGTTCCCAATTTATGCTGAACTCCTCTCAAGTGTCATAAAAGATGGAGCCTACTGTGTTGAATGGCATGGGATATTGGGATTAGGTTATGAAATATCAATTTACTGTTCAAACCCAATGCAGATCAGAACTTTAAAGAATTATCTGACAGGGGTTGGGTCTACAGGGGGTGAGCTGCTGACCTGAAAGCCAGTTCCTAATGGATAAAGGAGCTTTCTGTGGGTTAAAAAAAAGTTGATCTGACTGCCCATCCACTGGCTTCTGCCTGTATCCTTGCCTTTGCCCTTGACCCTTCACTTCACCCTTATCTTTCATCGCATTTGCTGTGTTGCCTGTTTATCCTGCTGCCTAAACTCCAATTCTTCTGTGTCTTCAACTCCTCTCTCTCCTTGAGTTCCTAGTTCTGTGGTGCTCACTTTTTTAGACTTATATGGCAATGTAGAAAGCAGCTGCCTCCTAAGAGTAAAAATTGTTTGCTTGTACTCTCAGGTCTTCACAGTTCTACAGTCCTACCTACATTTCATGTTCAAGTTCAGAATCACCACCTCTGTTTTTAAATCTTGCATAAACTAGTTCCTGCTTATCTCAAAAGCTCAGTTTCCTTCCTCTGCTTGCTTAGCCTTGGCTGTTTCTGTAATCTCATTGTATGATTGAGCTTTTTCCTTACATCTCTTTATTTAAATTCCTTTCAGATCTTAGCTGGGAAATACCTTTTCTTGCCCTTAACTGTATTCTTTTATTAACCATAGCAGTCAAGAACATGATGTTACATAAACCAGTTGGTTCTTTTTAAAATTTCTTCTTTAAAAAAGAGCCTGCAATGCAGTTATCAGTCTAAAAAATTGACTGTAATCAAAATGTTCAGCATGTCTTTTCCTTTCCTATGACATTTATGTTTTGGATTTAAATCAGCTCATGTTGAATTAGGCATACGTTTCAGTGAAATGGCTATTTTGAGGAAAATTTTTCATACATTTATTGGGTCACAAATGGTTGAAAAAAATTTTTGCATCCAGTTTTGGAAAAATGAGATAAGCATACCACTACCTGCACAAGCCCTGCTGGCTGCTCCTGGCTTGGCAGCAAGAGAGAAAATAGTAAATTGTGTTTAACCTTGCCTCTCTGTTTTCCTTAGAGATTGGAGATACTGCTGGGGTTGCTGATGTTACAATCAGGCAGTCTTACAGACTTATCTATCCACGAGCTCCAGATCTTTTCCCAGCTGACTTCAAATTCGATACCCCTGTGGACAAACTACCACAGCTGTAAAATTACTAAGGTTAAGTTTAATTTCTAAAGAACATTTTATGATTTTTTGCCTATATGAAAGGATGTACAAAGTGTTGATACTGAGCCTTCATATTGTGGAACTGGAGAAGGATGTGAAGATCAAACATAACTGCTGGAGCACAGCACACATTCCAAGGGTAAACAAAATCATGTGTGGCATTTTGTATGTATATATTAGTGAAAGTAAATATTTAATGACTGTTACAACAAGCTTAATTTCATATTGTACTTATTTAGATTTCTTTTGTAGGGATCTAGTAAAATGTATTTTGGAAAATGGAAATGATGTAATTCCCAAATAAACTGTTTTCCAAAAACATGTACCACCTTGCATATTTCAGTTCTTTGAGATGGGTATATTCCTTTCAAATGACCTGAACTTGACAATAATTTGTACTACTAATAATTAAATAATAGTAGAGTTCTTTAAGTACCTTTGCAACAAAACTCATTTATGTATGAAACTACCACACTTGCTTTCTTGGCAACTTTTAATCTCTAGTGTAGCTTTAATATTTGTAGTTAGCTGCAATTTACAGTATAGAAGGTTTAACCCAGAGTGCAAACAGTTGGCAAAAAGCAGCTTGAATATTTGCACAACTGCTGCTGAAGGTTTTTTAACATCTTATGAAAAGATTAGTCATATCCTTGGCACATCCTCTTTGCTTCTCATGGATGGCTATTCACCCTGCCTTTGTGAATTTGACAACTACAAAAGCCTGTTTCTTTAATTGAACTTCACTGGCAACTTCATGACATTTAGTCTACTACAAAAGATGTTAATTCCAATATCTCAAATACTTCAACATATAGATTAAAATGACAGGTCATATTTAAATTTGGATGTCCACCAGCTAAGCTCTTGACACTGCTGTATTCTAAATTAGCACTCAGAATTTGAAATGATACTCCAGGTGCTGAAGAGTTAAAAGCCAGAAGTTTGTTCTCCCTTCCCCCAAACTAATTGCTTCCAAAATGGGATGCCTCTTGACAGTGTCCCTTTGTGTTCAAAGCAGCAAATGTACTTTACCAACCATCTTCTGGTTTCTGAGCTAATTTTGCATCACAGGTGCAAGATTTACTTTAATTATGAAAATGAACAGCTGAGGGGGTCAGCTTCTGACACATCTGGTCCTAATCCATTCACAGGAGGGCTCTGTGCCCAGTGCTAACATTACTAATTGTCAATAGCCTTGACTGTTTTCTTGCTGCTTTAATTTTAATCCCCTTCTGCCAGTTGAGACCCTCAAAATACAACAGCTTTAAGTTTAGTATTTTTTTTTCCTCTTCAAAAGCATTGTAATTTACTGGCCACTGAAGTTGACTACTCATGGCTGTTAAAAGTTCCCGTAGCACAGCTGTAAAGGGCATTAGATCCAGTGTCCTCTCCCTGTGAAAGGCTAGAGGCAGGGCCATGTCATCCTGCCTCTTCCTGGAATTCTGCAAACAGTTCCTGCCCCTCCCTTAATCTAGAGAACTGAAGCTTGCAGCAGAGAACAGGGTAAATTTAAGTTGCAGGGCCCAGCTGGAAAGAGCCTGCTTTCTATGTAAAGGGCTGCCTTAACTCTACAGGGAAGATAAGGACAAGAAAAAAAGTGGTGGAAGATTTGAAGTTAGACCAAAGCATTTAATGAGAAACTCATGTTTCTGTGGGAATGCAAAGGACCACAACCATGTTTGTCTAAAGGATTAATGAAAATTTTGTTTTAGCTTCAGTTAATATAAAAACTGAAACTAATCTCTTAGGGATCTGCTACTAGATCTTTAGATATGTATAAACATGTAAAAAAACAAACAAAAAAACCCAACCTTCCCCTTATTGTATGCTATTGCTGTGGAAGGAGGAGAAAAGGAATTTATCTAGCTATAAACTTCAACTCTGAAACAGAGTAAGGGTAGTGCTTAGTTCAGCATTTACAAAATTAGTGATGGAATTTTTATGAGTTTTCTGGACTGAGCAACCATGTGTCAAGCAGGAATAAATATTCTAGTTAGTTTCTATAAATTATCTGGTATGTACTTTATGCACTATGTTGATGTACTAAGCAGAAATGCACTTTAAACTAGTAGTCTACAGTAGGTGGTTGATTTTAAGGTGGTAAGTATGACATCTCACCAATCATTGCAGCTAATTAGTTTCTGCTGTCTCAGGTATAGTGAAAAATCAGTGCTATAGCAGTAAAATACTTAGATGCAGAACTTAACACACTACTCTGCTGATTATTCATCATTCTGATGCCTCCTTTCTTTTTATTTAAAAGAGTAAGAATGGCATAAAAGCTGTGTTTGGCTAAATTGGTAAGTAATTTTAAACCTATTTTTTCAGTAGGATTTAGAATCCCAACTGATTTTAGGGGTTTACATTAAGTAGGCCCGTGTTCTGATATACAGCTGTCATCCCTTGCTTGTGTGTAAACTAAATATTTTAGCACTTTCTTACAAGAGTTCTACTATGTCAGACTAACAGTTTGTTTAAGCATAACAAAGATGCGAAAGCAGCTTGGCATGAACTGCTCTTGGGCCTGCCCATATCTTGATGCCAATTATTTTACATGTTCTCTATGTTTTAAAAACTTTGTACACAAACCAGCAGAGTTAAGGGTGTACAAGATCACTTGTTTTCAAACAAGGCCCCAATCAAGTTGTTCTTACCTTTCTCTTAGGAAAGGGAACATAAGTTATCAGGGTAACTACTGCCTAATTTAACACCCATTTCTTTTTACACCTGGGGGCTCTCTCAAAACAAGGTTTTGGGTTTTAATGAGTTCAAAAGGCCTACTGCTCCACAAGCTGGATAACAGCAGTAGAGTCAGCTGGCTCTTTAGGATAGGTTGAGCTGATGACATCTTCCCTGATTTAGTAAAATGGAAGAGCCTCTAGATTGTATTGGTAGTGTTGAGTTTTAGACATAGTAAATACAACCTACCTTTAATAGCTCCTGAGGGAAGTTAGGGTTGCAGGAAAGCTCTACTTTGCTATATTTCAAGCACTGAAGTTGGGCTTGGCTTTGCTTAAAACACCTGTTTTGTAAAAGGTGTTGATGGTTCTGTACCACACAACAGTCCCCATTGGTGCTGACAGCATAAAGGGCTGATAAGCTTTTGAATGCAAGGCATCTTTCTTCAGGCTAAGTCAAGCCCAACTAAGGAGTTAGTTCAATAAAAGATACTACCCATGTGAATCCTAGCCTAGGGGTTAGTGTAATTGATTAAAGGGGGGGAAAAAAACACCCAGCTCACTTAATGGTAGCAGTTACTTTGGTGGGAAAATAAAAGAAAAGCTAATACTCCTTAAATGGGACAGGCCTTACCACTGGGAAAGAGGCCTTAAAGGAAAAATGTATAGAAGAACTTGCTCTAATGACTGAGTTTCTTATTTACTCAGAAGTTTCTCCAAACTCTTAACTAGTTAATTAGAGGTCAAGAAAGCAGGCCTTACAAGGAGAGGCTGAGAGCCATGGGACTCTTTAACCTGAAGAAGAGAAGGCTCAGGGGGCACTTGGTGGCAGCCTGTAAGTACATAAGCTGTGTGCACCAGGATCTGGAAGAACTTCTGTTTGCCAAGGCACCTCAAGGGAAGACAAGGTCCAACAGACACAGAACACTGGAACATCGTTTTAGACTGGACATAAAAACTTCTTTACTGAGTCTCTAGAATCTGGAAGCGATTCCCCCCAAATGTGGTGTGAGCACCTATTTCTTGAACATTTTCAGAGCATCTGGATGCTCACCTTGCTGACTTCCTGCCCTCTGGGCAGGGGGCTGGACCCACTGATCTCATGAGGTCCCTTCCAGCCATAATGTCTATGAAACACTATTGTGGCAATGACTTCTTCACTGATGTGCTCCTGACTGATAACCAAACTATTCTGTTAATTCTGATCAATGGCAAGTTAGGATTTGCTTTAGTATGGTGGTAGAAAATCCTTCCAGGCTTACTTGGTTGTATGAAATTCCATCCTGTAGAAGTGGCTCTTAATTGTTAAAACATGATATGAACCCTGTTTCTCAAACCAGAGGAACAATGCACAAGCACATAACCCAAAGTCTTGCATAAATACCTATTGGGGAAGAGATGGGATGTTCAACAAGCTTATCCCTATTCTGCCCTCAGACTTCTATCAAGGAGGGTGGTATTTAAGGTTCCCTTTCTCACTCTATGGTCACATCCACATGTGTGGACACTTGGTTCCCCGGCGGACCACATACTGCACAGCGGCACTTGTCTGGATGCAGTTTGTGTTCTGTAAAGGGACTGCTCCTGCAAGAAAGTGACAACTGTGGTTTTATTAGGGGCATGGTGCCTATTAGAAGGGGGAGATTCTCCCTTTCCTTCCATAGACCAGATGCATCAAACACTGAAACTACCAAAAACCAGCACACCAAATTCAGTAAGTAAAATCAGATTTGGGACACAAGTTACAAATTTCTATTTAAACTTTAATTTGTGATATTAATGACTGCAAAACACTTAGAATGACATTGTTAAAAGGCACATTTCATTTTAATGCATAGTGTACCATTCTAAAGTATCCTAATTTCCTTACAAAGTGCTTGAGCAGCCACATACAGATAAAGGTATAGCAAAATATATTTACAATCTAGAGTTTAAAATCTTAATCTTCCTAAAAATATTTTAAAAAAAGACCTACAGGAGAGAAAAATTAGTGCTTTCTTTCAGCTTAACTGTGTGAGCATACCCTTGCCTTTTTTTTTTTTTTTTTTAGTGATTTACTTAGATTAAAAAAAGATTTCTGTACAAGATGTAAGTACAAAAAGGTATTTTTCATGGTGCTTTCTTAAATGCTAAGCACCCTCTTAGATGCTCTGTGTGTGTGTATGTATATATATATATATTTTTTTTTTTTTTTTGGAACCAAAACAGGTAAGCAGACTGTACCTCAAAAGCATTTAGTGTTTTAACATTTCAATTAAAAAAAAAGGAAACTTCATTTCTCTCTCCCTTCAAAATTCATTAGTATCTTTTTTAAACAAGTTACTGTGCTGCTCCCACTTTCTAAAGAAAAGTTCATTCTGTAAAACCAACATGATTTCTATATTTTGTAAAATGCCACCAGTCGTCTTGTTAGGTAGAGAGTGTTTTACACATTATTCAGAAATACTAATTCATTTCTTCCCCAGGCCATTACCAGGAGGAGTTCTGAACTTAGTGTTCTGTCCAGCAGTCATTTATTTTAAAAAAAATATCACCCAGTAACACCTTAGTGTTGCAGTATTCCATTCCTTAAAAAAAAAAAAAACACCCAAAAAATCCAAAAAACCAAACCCCAACAACAACATGGCTTCAGTGTTTATTACATAGC